GCAGCGACCCACTTTAGGGGAGGCATCCTGGTGGCTGGTGGATGGGCTGGTGAGGGCAGTATGAACGTCGTTGAAATGTTCTCGCCGCCGGAGCCTGACAAATGCCCACTCGGCCAATGGACAGCCCTCGCTGCGATGCCGCGGCCCCACGCGTATTTCACATTGATAAACTCCAGCGACCGAGTCTTTGCTATCGGTAAGGAGCCCCGTTTCTTTGCTTAGCACCAGTACACGTCTACTCTGATGCGAATGCATATCCTGACTGACAGACAGTATGAGACCCATCAGATGCAAAATGGCAACACTTACAAAAGAGTCCAAATCAACTGCAAACCGGCAATATCAATGCACAGTGTTTAGCTGATTTTAGTGAAATATAAAAAGTGCTATTAGTTTTTTTTAGAAATAAGAACTAAATCAAAAAGCCCTTACTCCCGATAGCGCAAAAGGTCGATGTAACAGTGACCACTCAAACTAAACACGATGTTCAGATGAAATTGCGACCCTAACTTTAATCAAATCTGTACATCTTGATGGAATTAAATAATAATAATTTTTAGGTCAGGCATGAAAGCTCGGCGAGTATTTCCCAAGTACAGAATTTTCCTTCTTAAACTTTTACAATTAGATAGTACCTAAAAGTATTTAAAGAAAATGCGGGTTTCATAATGTTAGTTTGTAGGATGATGGCTGGTTGGGCATATTTTTAGATTAAGCCAAACAAGAAATCTCCTTTGAGAAGAACAAACGCCCACAAAAACATCTGACATAACTATGCGTAAAATCACTTATAACAGTGTAGAGTAGGTTAGCTCCTTAAAAACACTTTAAGTAGATAGTCCACCGACAAATGTCTGTGTAAAATGCACATTTCCAGGGTAACGCCAGGTTTTCCTGTTCCTGAGAAGTAATGATGCAATTTCGATTGCAATTCCATATCTTGACCGCTAGCCAGTAGTAGCAGTAGACGTTAATTTTTTTAAAATTATTATTAAATATGAAATCATATTAGTAAATATCACTTAATCATTTGATCTATATTCCGTCTCGGCTACTTTTAAAGGAGATGTTCATTTGAATTTCCAAAAATGTGTAGGCAACGGTAAGGACCCAGAAAACGCCATAGAGATTTTTACTGCACCGGAAGATTGCGTTGCGCTCGGCAAGGATATTTCCTCTTGGATCTGGTCGTCTAGGAGCCCCGTGAAAACGCTTAAAGCGATTGACGGAGCTGCTAGCATTCGCATTTAAACATCTGTATTTCCGATTTTAACTTGTAAATTTTTTTCATGCTTGAGAAATAATCAACACTTATTCACAAAAAAGGATTTTTTTTTCATAGTCTCAAGGACTGTGAATGTTCACTTACTGATTTTTTTATTCAAAACGTCGTGTGCTGCCAACAAGCGATGACAGATTGATGTCGTTTTTATTATATAGATAAAATAAAGGTGTAAATTGGAAGGTTGGCATGTCAAACATTCAATTTCAAGGAACGATGGTCTTTGGGAAATAAGGTAACTTTATTTCGACATTGTATACTAATTTCATCGTCAGACTTGAGAAAACGTGTAAAGAACAATTAGAGTTTCAATAGTGCTCGTAAAATTATAAAGTCATCTGGTGTGAGCGCTAATTGGTAGCTACAATTTTCGTCAGTCTATAGAGATAAAACTAGTAGCCGAAATAGAGTCAGTCTTTGGTGGAAACTGAATGATCATCCGGTGTGGGCGCTAATTTGTAATTGCGGTTCATGTTAGTCCATCTTGATCAGTTGTCGTAAGTGCAGTTATGGTCCAGTATTTCGAACCCGACTAGTAGGCAGAAGAAGCCAAGTGAGTGGTTCTGATAGCAAGCCCTTATTTAGGACGGTACGGAGACAACGGAATTGAATTAGCGTGTTCACCACAGCCTATTATAAGGCTTTGGTCCTTCTAGACTA